TGTTTATCAAATAACGGAGTTAAATTGTGGAATAAACTAAATGAGAAACTAAAACAATGCCCAAACATATTTCTATTTAAAAAAAATTACAAATAAATTATTTTCAAGAGGTATCAAGAAGCACTGTAGTGAAAGTAGGAGTGCTCCATTGTTTGTGTTATTTTTTCCTTGTTTTGTTATTTTTTGTTGTATTTTTTGCTACTTGAATAAGTACATAATTGAGGTTAGACAAATAAATACTTGTCAGTAGTCACTATGATATGTATGTGTGAATAGGTATGTATGTGTATGTATATGTATGTATGTGTGTGTGTATATATGTGTGTATATATGTGTATGTGTCTGTGTATGTATGTATGTGCATATATATGTATGTGTATGTATATATGTATGTATATATACAGTGGCGCAAAAAGTGGGTATGCGCTATATGCGGCGCATAGGGGCGCAGCACCATGGGGGGCGCCAAAGCGATGGTAAATTTTTTTTTTTAAATTAATTTCATTTAAAAAAAATATATAGGCCTATATTGTATTTTCTATATGTAGCTGCTATTGTGCGTTTTTAAATCATTTCTGCATTTCTTCAATGTTATATAAAATTTTAGAGGACTAACAGGCTAGAGTAGGCGCCCTCATGGAGAAGGGGGCGGGGTGATATCGCGAGCGCGCGGGGGCGCCGTGAGCGCTGAGCGAGCAGGTACGAGTAGTGAGTTGTCGTCGAAAAAGATGGATAAAACAAAATGCTGTGGGGCTAAAAATAGAAAAAGAAAGCGGGAAAAGGAGATGGCATGTCAACTGATGCGACAGCAGCTAAATAAGTGCATGCTGAAAGCCAACAGGTAGGATTTAAAGTGTGACATCCAGGCATGTAGGCTATCTATATCTCTGTGGCCATCGGGACTACCGGGAGATTCCCAGTGGGCCGACGTGCTTTTTCGGCCGATACATCTCATACTTATTTTTTCTTTTTTCTTAACGGCCCATAAAACTCGTACATCGGCGGCCCATTATTTTTTTGTTTTTTGTTTTGCTTAATTGGCGGCGCTGGGTTAGTGCCGGTGTAATGCATTGGTCAAAAAAAGTCAGCGTTAGTTTTTTTTCTGACACACCGGCCCATGAAACATGTCATCATGTGCTTATCTCTTTCAAGTATAGAAATTAGTACCAAACTAATTATGAAAGTTTCCTTTATTTTTCAGTGCCCCCGTGCCCCCCAGCCCCCGAATCCCCCTAGAGAAACAGAGGTCCACCTACCACAGTTTTACCTAAAATCCTGTGAGAAACACTGCTATTGCTGTTCCAATTGAGCTTATAGTTTTTTAAGGGGGGTTCATCACGGTGGAGTAACTATAGTTTAATTGTATTAATAAATGACAATTTTGCACTTTTATCTGTTAGCTCTCACTCGTTCCTACTCACTTATTACATGGCACACTTATTTTTATTTTTTTCTTTGTTTGAGGGGGGGGGGGGCGCAAAAATTGTTGCTGCATACCCCTCTGACACTGGGTAGTTGCGCCCCTGTATATATATGTAGATATATGTGTATAATATATGCATATGTGTATAGAACAACATAATAATAATAATATAAAAAATGGAAATTGAATGACCGTAAGAATTAAGGGGGTAGGAGTATATAAGTTTTACTTCTTCCTACTCCTTTTCGTACATGTAATAAAAGTATGTTAACAGGAAAGAAGTGTACTTTGTTTGCTGCTCATTTGTTTTTGTTTTTCTCCTATGTTTTTAAACATTGCTTTATATTTTTATATACCGTACTTTTTTTCTATGTTCGAAATAAAGATTTCAAATTCAAAATTCAAACATTTTTATGTCACTGTAAAAAGTCAGTGTCCCAGTGTGTAGTGAGCCAGGGTCCTTACCAGTGGCCGAATTCATGTACACTATATACTTATTCACAACCTAGGAGCTGATTGACACGCATCCTAGGTAAATAAACCAATAAAGAAAGTGTTGTGACAAATTATCATGTCATCGTTTATGACAAGTCATTTGTACTTTCTTTTACAAAATGTTAAGATGGTCTTTGGAGCTTCATGATCTAATCCAACTTTTCACTGTAACTGTTATGCTGATTATATAATTTGTGATTAAAAAGGTTAATTAAATTTGAAAAATGCTAAATAGAACCATTTTTAAGCATAATTTCAGACTTTTGGACCCTACTGTATGTTATTTATTTAATTCAGCTACTCTATACCGTATAAATTAGCTCGAAATGACTGTTTGTAAACTTTATATTTCTGTTTATGTACAGGTCACAGAAGGAGAGTCCAGAGACTAAAGAGTACAATGAAGGGTTTAATACACCTACACATGAAAACCAGACATTACTCACTAAACCCCTCGTCAGTCCAGGCAAGTGCTCAAACCTGACCACTAAAATTAAAGGGCATATTGCAGGTTAGAGGACCCAACGAGTCAATGTATAGAAAAATAATGTAGGAACTAGATTTTCTTTAAAATATACTTATAAATACGCTACAGAAGCTTCTGGAGTCGTTTTTGTGAGAAAATTGTACTTCCGCATCTGAAAATGGGCGTGACGGGTGTGACGTAACGGGCGGGAGAGCGATCCATTGTTTTCCTGTTCAAACAACAGGAAAACAATGGATCGCAATGACATTTCGGACGCTGAGGAAACTCGAATGACGGACCACAGCAATACAATTATGAGCCTGCTATGCTGCCAAGAGAGCAGGGACAGGCCAGGATTAATGTTAGACAGAACGGTCAGAGACAAATTGAGTTGTGGTGTGAGGAGAACCAGTGGAGAACAGGGCATGTGTCTTGGTGAGAGAGACCAGTGTTAACTTATAGATATATACATGTTCGCTAACAATATACACTGTGCTCACAATATTGTACAAATTATTTACCATCGTATATCAGGCCAGCAGACACGAGTATGTTTAGGGTAGATATATACTATTAAATGTATAAAAACTATACTTGAGTATATTTGTATTGTACTAAAAACATACTAAAGTACATTTTTAATACATATTTTTCGCCTGGGTTATAACATAAACAGAAAATTAAAGATTTGAATATTTAAACAATCTGAGTTATTTTGTTTTTCAATTACAAGTTGCCTCTATTTAGGGCATGACTACCTATATCACACTATTTGATGCCATTGGGACAGTATAAGACGATCAATATTCTTTCTTCGGCATCCCATGTTAAACTCCATCATATCGCCGGGATGATAATCCTCCGATCTGAAGTGAACGCTCACACGACCGGGTTTCTCGAAGCCGATGCGGAAGAGAAATCCCGTCTCTTCACCTGCACAAACCGCACCAGGCACGAAAGATATACAGCACCGTCCTTTTTCTTGTTATGGAAACCTGTGGACTCAATGTCCTGACAGGCTGGAGTTTTTGCAACCTCCACAAACACAATAATTTACCATGACGATGACAAATTAAAATGCAAAAACTACCGAAAACACACTGACTCACGACAGCTCTCACTGAATACCAGCCTACTCTGCACTGAGCCGAGGCTGAGGCTCCCTAGCGTGACGTAAAATGACGCGATTTTGAAAAAAATGCCGTTTTTACGAGCAGTCCAAGAAAAGCTCACTTTATCTACTAAATTAGTGCCCTTATGTCGTTTTAAAACATTTTAAATCCTGCATTAACTTTTCATATGGTATTTTCATAAAAGGTTATATTTTAATTTTTAGCTTTTTTTTTAACCTGCAATATGCTCTTTAAGCTTCATTTGTCGACAGGTAACATTACAGCATGTGTTCTTGTTGATTTTGTATAGAAATATGAATGAAAAGATTTAATTTAGGCTTTTATTCACATTTAAACATTAATCAGCGGACATAACAGAAGCTCAACCGAACCTCATTGGTTCTTGCGAAGCTCAAACATGCTCCGTTACACACAAGAATGAACCTCATTGGTTCTCGCAAGTCAAGCAAGCATGCTTGAGCTTCCGTTTATCTCAACTGATGTTTGAGTTGATGAATGTGAATGATATGTGAATAAAAGCCTAAATTCAATACATTCATCATGTAAAGCAGACTAAACCGCTCAATTCATATGGATTAGTTTTACGATCTCTTAATGAACTTTTCTAAGTGTCAAAGTGGTAGTTGCGTAGCTGTAAATGAAGGGACAGAAATCTCATAGATTTTATTGAAAAGATCTTCATTTCATTTGTGTTCCGAAGATGAACGAAAGTCTTACTGGTTTGGAATGACATGAGGGTGGTGTTTTTTTTGGGAGATCTATACTTTACTCAAGTACAATTTAAACTGACTACTATTTGTACTTTTACTTGATTACATTTCTGAAGAAAAAACAGTACTTTTTACTCCTTACAATTTTATCTCAACTTGAAAAGTACTCGTTACATTTTTGCATTTTATTTTCTTCCATCTCACGCACATTAGATATGGGAAACGGAAGCTCATACGTGCGCATTTAATGTGCAAGAACCAATGATCTTTTGTTTTTGCGCGTCAAGCAGACGTGTTTCAGCTACAGTTATAACTTTCATCTGGGAAATTTCTGGCTATCAAATTTATTCGCCATCAAATCTGAGGAAGCATATTGAGGTAGCCAAGTTGTTTTTTCCCCCAAAAATGTATTTTTACGTTTTGATATAGCCATTAACTGTCTATCTAGTATATTGGCTGTATCCCTATAAGGGCTGGATTTTTTGTGTTCCACTGTGCTGCAATTTAATTGTTGTTTTATGCACTAGATAGATGTTTTTGACCTGTGCCATTGCGTTTTGTTTGATTTTAGGCAATTTATTTGTATGCAAATTTTCAGTATGATGAAACAAGAATCTCCTATCTTAATCGTTTGATTGGTTACTTCTACTTTTTTATTGCTAAAGTACAATTTAAAGTTGTACTTTTTTACTTTTAATTGAGTAAAAGTTTCACTGAGTATTTGTACTTTCACTTAATTTTTGATTACTTTTCACATCCCTGTCCTTAGGTTTCCATGGCAAAGGCATTATAAAACGAAAGACAGGGAGATTCCTATCACTCAAAAGCATTCACAAGCGGAATCGATTTGGAGAGACAAAGCTGCATTTAGCTGTGATGCGGGAAAACATTCAAGACGTCAAAGACTTACTCACAGTTGATGATTCCGTGAATGTAACGGATTATGCAGGTACAACATGTTGGAAGATATCATAAAATTGTTAATTTCTCTATCAACTTTTTTTAAAGTAAGAGATAGTGCTGCCTAGGGGTGGGCGATATGACCAAATTCTCAATACAAGTAATTTTATTTTACCATAATGGTATATATCACGATATAATTATTTTTGCTTTGAATAAGGTTTTGATACCATTGAAATTCCACTCAGATCAGTTCTCACGCTTTTTATGAGCAATGGCTTCATTTGCGCATGTCTCTCAGACAGCGCTGAGAAACAGTGGCTGTGTCCGAAATCTCCCATTACTCACTATATAGTGGACTATATAGTGAGCTCGCCATTTTGTAGTGCTGTCCGAATGTATAGTGATGATTATTATACCCTATATAGTCCACTCAATGTATCCCAGAATGCATTTTGAAAAGTAGTGTACAACCGATGGTCACTAACCCAAGCCCTACATACCATCATGCATTGCGCTGATCATAAAAGACCTATCAGCATCATCTTCATCTTTAACTTACAATTTGACGACGTCTCGCTAGCGTAGCAAGAACAGCACGTCGTTTTCTGTGTCTAGAAATCCTGTTTCTTTTGCTAATCTGCAAAATCTTCTGAATCACGAGAACAAACAAACAAAAAAGATAAATATTGAGTGGCATCTCCATAGAGTCTAAAAGCAAGATATTTGATAACGTAGATCTGTTTTTTTTCCCTAATGTCGACAGGCAAGAGAAAACGGTGTGGCGTGAAAATTAAAATATATGAAATATGTGTATTAATTTTATTTATGTTTATAAGTTATAATCATGTGTGGAGTAACGCATTATAACAGAAACGGCCAGAAATGACTTTTAATTTTACAATTTTGGAGAAATAAGCTCAATATAATGTAATGTATTTATAAAAAAAAAATCTATTTAGCCCAGAGCTGGCTCGGCACCAGCTGATAGATGATGGCGCGTTTAAATAGTGCGACAGTAATGACGTAATCAACGGCGCCGAGAGACGATCGACTAGTGTCCGAAAGTGGTGTTTCTATGGGTGCTTCTCATTTCTTATTTGTGCATCCTCGTTTCCTTTCCTCGCTTCCTTTCCTCGCGTCTCAGCTCCACCCCCTGTAGGACGCGAGGGAAGGCTGCAAGGAAAAAAAACGAGGACGGAGGAATTGAATGAAAGCTTTTTTATACATTGGAATACTTGATCACTCGAGCGTCACTCCACTGCGTCATCAGCAGTGCTCAAAGGATCTGCCCTTATGTTGTTAAAGTTTGTTTATTTAAGAAATTCATTAGAAATAATAATAAAGCAAGAGACCTTGTTGAAATATATGAGTTGTGTGGTTTATGTAAACTACAAAAGTAAAGTATAAATTCAAATGATTGTGACAGATGTGAAGGGGGAGGAGAATTGATACGTGCGTCATGTTTAGTCGATAAAACTCTTCCGCAAAGGGTACACCTGTGTATCCTCGCTCATAGCTCCTCTGGAAGCCTCCTCACTCCTCGATCCTCGCCTCCTCGCGGTGCAATTAGAGAATTGAGATGTCCTTCAAGATGGCTGAGCTCGATTGGTTTCCGGGTCATAGGATGGAGGACGGAGGAGCGAGGAGACGAGGAGGGATATTGAGAAGCACCCTATTATGCTGGTGAGCTCACTATATAGTGCTCTACTCCCTACCTCCTACATAGGGGTTAGGGAGTAGTGGTTTGAGTGGAGATTTCGGACACAGAAAGTCTCTCTGAAAGCACGCGGATATAAGCAGTACTTAAAAACGCATGCAAACGATAAGCTTTCGTGACTCCGTATCACAGCAACGTCACATGAGCGTGACCGCAATAGATAGTCCAAAATCTCTACCGGTTGACAAATTTCTACTGGTTAATCTTGTCTACTGGTATATCGCCCACCCCTAGTGCAGCCATTTGTAAGTTGAATGTGCGAGGCTTTCAGTGTCGCACAAATGCACTTCACTATAAAACACGCAGCTAGCGCATATATTTATATAATTAAATCCCAGCATTTATGATTCAAAAATCTCACTAAGCAATATCGTGATTTCGATTCCAAGTTGGTATATCGTGCAGCCCTAGTCTAAACTGTTTTGTGTGTGTGTGTGTGTGTGTGTGTGTGTGTGTGTGTGTGTGTGTGTGTGTGTGTGTGTGTGTGTGTGCGTCATTCACCTAAACGCAAATTTAGGTGCAACAAAGTTGGGTCGCGACCCATAGTTTAATAGCCCTTGTTCTAGTTAATTTCCCATAGCTGCTTACGAATCTGAATTTCGCACAATCACAAAAAAATTGCTTACTTCTGCATTGCAAAATAAGGTGGAAAGGATATCACTTTTTTCCTCAAATCCTCCCACAAGCTTCTGTTGACACCCTGGTTGTACACAAATGGTTGAAGTTAGCACATATTTCCACCTGATGGCATTGTGTACCAACATTTCTCAACTTAATGATCTATTAATTGTTAGGTTGGACTCCACTCCATGAGGCAGTGTACAGAAACAACTATGACTTGACAGAAATTTTACTTGAAGCTGGAGCCCTAGTCAACTGCAGAGGAGATAATGGAATTACACCTTTACATGATGCCATACACTGTCAGTATTACAAGGTGAGTGAATTGCATTCAATGGTTTATTAATAAAAATATGCCTATAAAATACAGACTGTATTATATTGAATACATATGCTTACAGATAGTAGATCTACTTCTGAAGAATGGTGCTAATCTATTATCAAAGTGTGACAGAGGGAAGACTCCTATGGACATGACCACAGACAGATCTTTGGACATACTGTTGGAGAAATACCTGGAAAAGCCTAAAATAAACCCTTTTACAGGTGTGTATCCTCTTTACATACACAAATCGGATTTTTCCTACAATACAAAAAAAATCTTATTTTTTATTTATTTATTTTATTTTTGCTTTATTTTGGAATAGCTGAAAATCCACCCATAGCCACTAATTCACCATTTAATCCAAATATGAGCAAAATAATCAACCAGAACTCCGTCACAGTAAGTCAAATGTGATACATCATTAAATAAAATATCCGCTGTCACTGATCATTACATGATCGGATTACTGATCAGTTACTTTTGTTTCATTTAATTTTGAGGACACAAGAGCTCTTCTTCAGAAATCAACTGTCGAAGGAACTGCTGATACAAGTGAGCATGAAAGCAGCCTGCAGTCTTGTGAAGCTGAACCCATTCCTGGTCCAAGCAGAGAACAACCAAACTGTGATCCATCCAAGATGTTTAAGGCCCCTTTCAAAGGTTCTCCCCTATATAAGTCAAGGGTTGTGGGAACTAGATATGTCTCATGCAATATTTAATAGGGGTAAATGTGCACCCTTCAAGAGTCTCATCTAGTCACTGTGATGATCACAAAATACACATACGTTAAAATTCAATTGATGTGTTATTTTTCTAAGTTAGTTTAAGTTAGCTATCTAAGGTCATTGCCTTTTAAGATATATCAGATATTTTCTTTCATCTGATATGAATCTGATTTCCATTTGATATGTTCAGGTAGTGTGGAATTATTAGTGCTGGTGCTGCAGAGCTGAATGTACCAATGAGCTGACAGATGAGTTTTTAGAAGGGTGTCAAATTTAAAATTCATCCTCGTGGAGTAAGGCAATGACTATTTTGACAAATTTGATTTTCATGTGAACTGCAATAACGACTCGTATACAAAAAAGAAAGTATTTTTATATACCAAATGAGTGACAAAATCCACCTCAGCATCTCTCATATTTAGTTGACAATGCTAAAACTGCGCATTAGCAAGCAACACCATTTTCAAATTGAGCCATGTTTTACCCAAGCTCTGCTGCCAACAGCTTTATTTACTAAAATGAGTCCCTTACGTCCTTGGACCACATATATAAGACAAAATAAGCTTTAGAGAAAATGTTAGTTTAAATGTTACCTTGAGGAAACAAATAATCAAAAACAGTTACTCCTTTTTTGGCATCTTTGCTGTTTATTAGATTGTACAGACTGAAGTAGAAACAGAAACAATAATGAGGAAGGCGATAAAGGAACAGGAAAAGGAAAGGAGCACAAGCCTTTACCCAAACTCGTTTCCCCCCAAGGTGCTACTGCACAATATGTTGGCGCACTGCGTGACCTGTGATGGGTGCACACAAGTTTAGCCCGAGTTGAGGCTTGGTTGTCTAACACTCTTTGTCATTTAGGGATACATGTATATTATAGTCAGAGTTGGGAGGGTTACTTTTAAAATGTATTCCGTTACAGTTACAAATTACTTCATAAAAAATAATTCAGTAATGTAATCCAAGCACCAGTGGCTCACGTGATTAATGACTGGCAACATAATCAGCAGTCAGTTAGAGATATGCGGATCAGTTAATGAATTTGCTGTTAATATAAATCATCCACTCGAACCTATGATTTTCTCTAATTTAGATATCCGCATTCGATCGTAACATTAGAATTATTCTAATTCTCAGTGTTAAGCAAAATAATATGGTAACATGTTACACTGAAGTAGGCTGCTTTTAAACTAACTAAACTAACTGGATTTAGACATTATCACATATCCATCACTGGATTCGTCCTGGTTAACTATTTGAGTAAAATGCTCCCACATAGTACTTTTCTTTCCTTTTATGTTTTCAATTCTCCTTTTCGAAATTTCTCTCTGATCTGTTTTGCGTAGCTTAATGAGAGTCTGCAAATTAGTGTCTGACAAAAAATGTATCTTTAAACACGTTAATATTTTCATCATTATGTTGGAAAACATTCTTATCAGAATCATTTCTGTTTAGCTTGTATATATTTTTAGAAAGCTATTAAATTAAGCAATAATGTCGTTTTTTCCCTTGTGTTTTATATAATAACCACTTGGAGGTGATGGCTACAGTGGCCCAGTAGTGCACAACACAACGAAATGTAAAAAGCAAACATAAATTCACAACACAACACAATGGAAACAAGCCACAACACAACGAAATAAAGCCACAACACAACAGAAATGCTCCCGACTGCTAGAGGGCTCTCAGAGCATGGTAAAGTTAGTTTTCCTTATCACTGTTCTATAGAGTCGCAGTCTTACAAAGATATCAATACCACGATTAGTTTTAACAGTATGTAACCATTATATATCGACATAAAAATATTACTTCAAAATCATCTACATGCATTATAGCTGCATATTTCTACTCGAGAATATTTTGATCCGCTACCACGGTGCATGATGCCTAAGGGAACGTCTGTCAATTCCACCAAGCGGTTAAAACGTATAATTTAATATAATATTAATATGTATACATTTAATATTCAACAATATTATTGATCTGCCTGCATTTACACCATTAAATGTGAACTGAACTTAGCTGGACGATGACATCACTGTTTTCTCCAGACCAGCTATATATATAAATGAACTAAATTAATAACTTTTTTACAACAATAACGAACCATCAGTAGTTCCAACCATACCAACCAAGTAACCAACCATAACTTACTTAAGCTTTCTAGATATGCTATACAGCAGAAACAAACTTTGTTGCATTATTTTCCTGTTATGACTGTAAAGCTGCTTTGAAACAATCTGTATTGTAAAAAGCGCTATATAAATAAAGGGGACTTGACTTGAATATAATATACGCTATATAAAATACCCTTTTGTTACATTACAGTAATTTTTCCTAAAAATAATTGTTTACTGTAAATACATGAAGGGAGGTATTGGAAAAAGTCACCTATAGTAAGTCAGTCAAAAGTAAAAGAATGGTTTTTAAATGTTAAAAATTATTTTAATTAAAACAAATTATACGTTTAACCACTTGGTGGAATTGGTAGACGTTTCCTTAGGCATCATGCGCTGTGGTAGCGTGTCAAAGCATTTTCAAGTATAAATACGCAGCTATAATACACGTAGGTGATTTTAAATTAATATTTCATGTCGATATACAATGGTTACATACTGTTAAAACTAGTGCTATCAAACGATTAAAATATTCAATCGCGATTAATCGCATTAATGTCATAGTTAACTCGCGATTAATTTCAATTAATCGCACATTTTTATCTTTTCTAAATGTCTCTTGATTTCTTTTTGTCCCATTATTTTTTCTAATTCTAATGCTCTTATCAACATGGAAAAGTGGATCGGCTTGCTTTGTGCAAATGTTTTTTATTGAAAACAACATTGGCATATACTGTGTTCAATTTCACACTAACATTCTCACTTGGAGCAAAGAATCTCTCAAACAATGTAACGGTGTCCATCAATAAAAGGGTGAAAGAAATACTGACGAGGTCCTGATATTGACGAGGGGGCGGGGAATTCGCATCAGCTGTGTGTGTGTGTGTGTGTGTGCTTGCTTGGCCATCAAGTGGTATTTCAGACTGGACGTGCTGCGATTATGATAGCTCAGTTCACAACGACAAAACACACAGATCACTTTGGTCTTGTCAATGGAACCATTTGGCAACTTTTGAAAAGTAAACTTTCCATTCAGAATCTTATTGGCATCCATTTCAGCGTCTCGCGCTCGCCATCCACTCAAAACACAACGATAACCTACTATTTGGCCGGTTCGCAAACGAGTGTGTGCGGCGTGCCTGTTGTTTTGTTTCCGGTCTAGCTAGATCCGCTTGCGCTTTCAAAGCGTCCTCGTCAGGGATGGAAATTAGCACCCGCCACCAGCCAAATGCGGGTGATTTTGTGTTGTAGCGGGTAAACTCGCTTCACCTACCGGCCACCGTGGCGGGTAAATAAAAATAGCATACTGTTTCACACGGACGGCGGACACTTTTAGAGGAGGCACACCTTCAAACAAAATGTGGCGTTACATCGCAGGCGTAGAGGTCTGCAGAGAAAACATCATGGTGCGTTCACACCAGACGAGAATAGAGCGTCTGGCGCGAGTGATTTCATTGTTAAGTCAATGCAAAGACGCGTTACGCGCGTAAAAAATTCCTGCGGCGCGAATGAGGTGTAGAGCGCGCCGTGGTAGATGCGAATACGCCTCATTCGCGCGGCAAGTTCGAGCGTCTGACGCGTTCCGCGCGCATGATTTTATTGAGTGCTTTTGTGCATTCACGCGTTTGACGCGAATTCGCGTCTGCCGCCCGAGTTGAAAAATCTGAACTTTAGCGTCAATTCGCGCCGCGTTAACCAATCAGGAGCCTAGCTGCTGTCACGTGGTGAAGTATCTGGATGCTTCAATAAATTATTTTGTACTAAATGCCTGATGTGGTTCTAATGCACAACAAAGCAAATATTTTATCACATAAAACTTGATTTCAATATATGAGACATATTCATTTTGTATTGAATGCTATTTATTCCATTTCATATCTAGATTATATTAAATATTATTCTAATGTAAAGGCAACCAACATACTATAGCTCATAAATCCGTGTCTGGAGAGTGTTGTGTGAGAGAAAAAAAAATCACAGGACAGGTTAATTACTTTTGGAGGCTGGCTCAAATTATCATCAAAACAAAAATAAATGACAGATTAGGTGGATGAGGCCGAGGGTGAGAGAAAGAGAAAATGTCAGTATTTCATTGAGACTTGAGATTAAATAAACTGCTTAAGTATTCTTGTAGTATTAATTTTCACATGCAGTTACACATTGTCGGTTAAAAGCAAGAAAGTGGCTGGTAAAAACATTGAGTGGCTGGTAGATTTTGAAATCCACCAGCCACAGTGGCCGGTGGACAAAAAAGTTCATTTCCATCCCTGGTCCTCGTGCGGCGCAAGCCATTGAAATGAATGGGTTTCATAGCGCAGCGCCGCGCACGCCACGTCCTGTTGCAAAAGCATGTGAAAAAACTACAAAGTTTGCTAGGCCAAAAAGACTGTTAATCGCACGATAAAAAAATTAACGCCGTTAAAATGGGTTTGCGTTAACACCGTTAATAGCGCGTTTAACTGACAGCCCTAGTTAAAACTAATCGTGCTAACTTTACCATGCTCCGAGAGCCCTCTAGTGGTCGGGAACATTTCTGTTGTGTTGTGGCTTTATTTTGTTTTGTTGTGGCTTTATTTCGTTGTGTTGTGGCTTATTTCCGTTGTGTTGTGGCTTGTTTCCGTTGTATTGTGTTTTTTAGATTTCTTTGTGTTGTGCACTACTGGGCCACCGTACTAGGCATATGTTTTCCTTGATTGGTTTTCCCTGAAGAGATATATATTGTTGTTGAAAACAAAAGTAAAAGAATGGCGCACGATCGTTGCGTTTTACCGTGAAATGAGAGTTCTGTGTCTTTACTAAATTCAAACCATTCATGATTTATTTTCTCATTGGCCCGCAACCCACCCGCAATTAATTGGAATGTTATTTTTATATTACTTGGGCCGCCTGATTATCCGCAGTCTCCACAGATATAGTCGCAATCCGTGCATCACTATTGTCAATATAGCGTTATGTCAAAATACTAATTTATTTAAAGTAAAACCATTGTAATCCTGATAGTATTTCCATTTTTTACAAAACGTAACTGTAATCTGATTACTTTGTTTTTTGGTGTAACTGTAACAAATAACAGTTACCAGATTTTTATATCCTGATTACGTAACACCATCCGTTACATGTATTTCGTTACTCCCTAACACTGATTATAATCTAAATATGAATGGAAATGTGCAGCTCAGTCTGAATTGGGGTGTTGTGTGTCCTCATTTCCCAGTGGAACCATCACCTCAGACTTGCAGCAATGCACTGCGTCTTGTGAGGGATCAAGGACAGGACTTCTGTAGCCAGGGTCCCTCTCCGGTGCACGATCAAGAGAGTGAGGGATCAGACACCTCCAGCTGCCTAGACAGTGATGTTACAGTGGACTATATCGAAGATAATTCATCATCACCAGAGCATTGGACTCTATGTGCCACTCAAGATTTCTCTGGTTCCTAGAGCACTAGAGATGTTTCTGTGGATTGTCAAATATCTAATAAATTCATTCAGTTGACATTTGACACTTAAATATTGGGTAATTTTTTTGGAAATTAGTTCTCTTATGTTTTTTTTACATCATTTGGGCTGTATGCGATCTGTGATAATACATGCTTTGGTGGAAGTGATGTCATCGCCTTAGTAGTCAATTACAAAATGTATAGACATCTGGTATATGTTCGAAGTGTTGCAGTTTTCCTTATGAATTTGCTGCTGCTATTTAAAATTTACACTGAATGTCCAGCCAGAATTTAAAAATTGTATGCTAATTACATTTGTTTTGTTATTTGAAGTAAGCAGTGTTATACAATTTTGCAATTAAAATTTGTAATAGCAATAAAAATTCTTTGTAAGCACACAATACAACAGTTTTAGGGGAAATTTATTTTTTGCCTTTATTTTTTTAGGGCTGTCAACGTTAATGCGTTTTCAGTTGCGATTAATTCAAAATCATTAATGCGTTAAAATAATTTCACGCAAATAAATTACTGAAGCACGTGAAATTGCGTCATTAAATTATGTTTTATTAACAAAGTTCGGGAGAAGCACGTTCAGATAATTAACCTAATTGTCATGGGAGGAGCTCATCCAGTCAACTCAATTGACATCAGGAAGTATATTTACCTCTTGTCAATTTTCCTTTCCCTTTTTTTTTAAGAAAAAAAGGGGGTGGGAAAGACTGTCATACTCCGGCAGCGTTGCTGAGCAAAATTCCGTCATCTGCAGAGCCCCATGGCCATACCTGCTATCGCACATGCCTGGCCATAAACTGCTAACTTTTGGCAGTTATGATAGCCCACAGTGGAAGAAGCGAATAACATTCACCTATACTGCTCTCAGCTGATCGAAACTGCCGCGTTTGCACAAGAAAACACGGAGCACGAGCTGCGAGATACAGACGAGACAATAACTCTCTGACAACTCTCAACCCAGCGCATTCTCGCTTATCACTGTTCGCACACCACCACACAAGCCATTTGACTGTGTGGGAGCGATACACACAATTCTATGATTTTGACATATCAAGTGAAGTGACGTGAAGGCCAAGTATAGTAACCCATACTCAGAATTTGTCCACTGGATTTAACCCATCCAAGTTAGTGCACACAAACACACACACACACACACACTTCAAGCCAGTAAACACACACACACACACCTGAAGCAGTGAGCAGCCATCCACTGTGACACCCGGGGAGTAATTGGGGGTTAGGTGCCTTGCTTAAGTCGTTTCCTGCCTGTATTGAGAATCAAACCAGCGATCCATCTCGAACTCTTGAACCATTAGGCCACAACTCCCCTGATGTGGAAATACGGAAGAAATGAATGCTCACAGAATTGTATGTGGGCAGAGGAGGCGGATTATTTTATAACATCTTCCTCAACTCTTTCCGCATATACTGTAATCCTTTAGAAATAGACATCCACAAAATAACCTCATTCAGGAGGAAGCGGCAGCCGAAGCGGGCTTCCTCACCATGAAACCAATAGAGATAACTGGGAAAGCATGAAGAAGGGAAACGGTCCTGTCAAACTCATCCACCATTTTTATACCCGTAGTCCCCACGAGTGCTGCCATGGCAATTCAGGGTCAAAATTGTGAGGTGCAGACGCTCAATTCTAATCTCTAAAGAAAAGAATCAAGCGAGAGAAGAGCTTCCCCACCACGACTCGTCACAACGCATGCATAAACGGCTCCCTCAAGAGCTCACTCTTACTCTTACATTGGCAGGGCCTGAATTTCGTTTTGGAAAATGGGGGGGAAATCCCCCCTTAGATGATTCTCATGGGGGGGATTTTTTTTTGTTTGAGGGGGAGAAAGGGGGGGGCATTTTTTCCAAACAAAATTATTATCTTGCCTAAATGTTTGCGCTCATTGCATTTTTACAATGGGGTAATATTGTTGTTAAGAATTTACACATCACAAGGAAGCTTGATTTAAATTGTTTAATTAAATTGAAAAAAGTAGCACAAATAAATACAATAGAATAAAGATACAAATAAAGATAATTAAAGAGAAAAGTTTTTCAATGGGTCTAACACTAGTATTCATATACAGAAACTGAATAAAGTAATCAAATGGAAAATAACACTGGGTAGTATTTTAGTCCTGAATAAATTAAATACATAGGCTATTAATACTGATTCCTTTAACTTAAAGCTATCTTTTGTTGTTTTGACCACAAAATTAATGACAGACACATGGCTGCCGTCACTTTAAGAGCTAGTGCACGGAGCCTGTGTTCATTATACTGGCATGTGTTTTATGCATTGGCCTATTAAAGACAAAACCGACTATGTTTAGAGTATAGCCTACTCACAAAGACCGAAATTGACAATTTTGCGTGTTAAAGCAATATAATCCGCGAAAAATAGTTACTGGCCAGCTGTTTTTGAGGCGGATTTTCTATGAATGTGCGCATAGAAAATAATCTCTGAGAGCGCGCGAGCACTGATTAGTTTAAAATCGCTTGAATGTTTAAACTGGTAAGACTTAAAAAGACTTCAGTCACGATGCACTGCTGGCCCGATTGTGCAAGTGAATATTCCGTCATGTCCCGACCTTCTATGGTCCCGACTCCAAAACGCGAGTGTATTATCGTGTGTATAGAAGAGATAGAAGACGCGCGCGGCACCGCTGAACACTCACGCTGTTTGTGAAATTGCGTCTGGAAGATAGTTGTTAAAAGAATGATTTGATTTTATTATCTGTGTGGATTACGATTGCGGGAATTTCCCGCATTATAAATGGGAGACCTGCGGGAATGATTAGAATTATGCGCAATACCCGCAATCCCGCACCGAAATTCGAGCCCTGATTGGCAATTGATATCTTCACACACACATTGAACTAGCAGATCCTGAAGACAAAAAAGCTGATGATGTCTAAGGAAGGCACCCTTTTATACTCACGGGTGGTCCATGTGACGTCATAGGGCTGCCATCTGCCAATCAATTGGCGTGTTTCCAAACATGCTTCATGCCTGGGGGAGTTCCCATAGTGTCAACGTCATGACAGCATTGAGTTTCCTCGAAAGGGAACCAGGCTGGTTACATCAGAAATGGCAGAGAAAATAGAGACTTGTGTTGCGTTTTCAGTGAATTATTCATTCCAGTGTGTGTTTCGCTTTAAAACACGAGCTCTGTCATATTCCGTCATTGTTTCTGAAGTACGCAAGCCCTCACGTATTGCGCTGGTTGAAATACAGACTGTATGGAACGCCAAAACATCCCACCGCTGTATGTCCAGATGATACGCAAACTACGTTTCTGGGCTTGATGAAGCAAACCATTAAGAATGCGTGAGTCCGTTACATTGATGCGCATACATGGGGTTCTGTTCGGTATTGCAACTTGACTTAAATAAGTACTTTGCTGTTGCACTGTACACATACTATACACTGAATTCTGAAAAGGTTTTGTAAAGAGTGGTTTGGTGTGCATGCATTTATGAATTATATGGGCTCCTTATATGGTTATTTGGTGTCCTTTTGGATTCTCCAAATGTCCTTTTTTTTTAAAAGACACCTAAATTTGCCTTGAAAAAAGCTTGCAGAAAATACAGTTTTGTAAGAATCACCCTTCAATCTTATGGTTTACTTTACTGGATATAGCAAATGATGACAGAATGACCATGTTAAACAAGATAAATGATGTAATCGCACATAAGGGTGCGATGAAACGCGATTAAAAAACAAAAAATTATTGACAGCCCTATTTTTTATTCTATCTTTATTTGTTCCTATGTATTATTCTTAGGGGATGCTGGTGAAACTCTGATGAATGATGCCAATTCAGTAGCTGAGGAGCCAAGCTCGCGTTCCTTCCATGACCACAGCTATTCAGTGAGTGGTTTCTTTTAAACCAAAGTCTGTCATATGAATTTTGCATTGTAATCCAAAACTGATCTACATTTATATTTCATGGACTCTTTCAGATTACTGAAAATGGAAATCCAAGTCAGAGCACAATTGGAGATTCATATAATGTTTGCTCTGCTAAAGCCATGTCAGCAGGAAAGAGGGAATTGAAAGGTTGTCAAGACAGTTATGGGGCTGATATTAGTCATGATGACTCTACCATGGCTAAGAAACGGATCAAAAGAACAACATATAACAATCAAATACAAAATGATTTTTTGGAGTACTTGCTCAACTTTGATCTGAAACATGTTTTTGAAATTGTAAAAGATGTTGATCACCCCTCACTTCAACAGAATGAAGATGCAAGCAAAGATGAACAGTCAGCTCTTGATGTTTACCAAAAGGTTCCATCTGAAACAGTGTTTATTTCTGACACCAACAATGAAAGCAGTCAAGAATGTAGCATTTCTTTACTGTCCCCTCATTTAAATGAACTAATTGACTCATGTTTACAAGGTAAATTCAAGGAGGACATTAATGTACATTCATCTGGAGCAATGGTGGAATCACCATTACAGAGTGGGGAACTGTTTGACTCGAGCAGCTCTGCTTCACTGCCTCTGTTAATGGCCAACATCCATAATCAAGGATTAACCTGCAGTCCAGAGTTTTTAAAAATAAATGAGCCATTAGAGGAATTTGACACAACCAACAAACAACTGCCAGATACTGAAACATCAAAAGGACCATTTGCGCAATCAACCATTGAGTCCATTTATGTGGATAGGACATCTGGCTGGTCAAAAAACACACCACATAATGACTTGATGGAAATCAGCCTTCAAGAACTGCATTCTCCTAATAGACTGTTCCTAGAGAAGCCTCTAAATCAGGATGAAGAAACAGACGTGGTCACTGTTCAAAACCAGCAGGGGGTGGTAGAGATAACGGAGACAGCACTTAGCACTAGCCAGACTCAAATGAGTAAGAGCTACACTGAAAATCCTGCCATGGAATGTGAAAAGCTGGAAGGAGACACATTGATTTTAAATGCGATAGATCTCATCGATGGACCTAAAGCAGAACCACGTTCATCCTGCAGGGGGGCAGTTAATGAGCTAGAGATTGAAGCCAATGCATGTGCTGTTTCACCAATCTTTTCCTGTGCCAGAGTAGATGTTGAACATCCTGAAAATTCTCACAGGGCTGATTTTATTGTTGAGGGTGATCCATTTAAAAATTCAGTTGATTCAGACTGCACTGTTGTGGAATGGTCCAACGCTACTGACATTCAGGATGTGGCCATCACATCAATTCAGCCTAAAGTCTCTGGTTGTGAAGAGAGGCATAGTGAAAAGGAAGCAGAGAACATGGAGGGTACACCAGACACAGTGGCCTCAGTGAGTGTTTTAAGTCCGCCTCTTCCTGAATATGTGTGCGCACATCCATCACTGGATAACACTGAAGAAAAAGCACAAGATCCACACATAGCTCTTGAAATCAAGGGGCTTTTCAACACAGGTGAACTAACAAGTCAGAAAAAGATGTCCAAGTGTCAGAAAAGACGGTTTAGAAAAAAACCCGATGGATTGAATACAGGTGATTCCCTGGAGTTAATCATTAGTATTATCATCACAATTCAGAGCATGTTACTTTATATATTGTTATTTCTCAACAGTATCAAAGAAGGTCGTGCAGATTTCCCTGAAATCTCTCCAAAAGAGAAATGGTTTAGGAGAGACTCGTCTTCACCGGGCATGCATAAGTGGAGACCTGCAACTGGTCAGAGACTTGATAGAAGCTGGGATAAATGTTAATATAACAGATAATGCAGGTGGGAAAATCCTTGCCTTGTTATGTCTTCATTATTACCTTTGATCTATTTAATGCTTACACGATGTCTTGGGTGGACAGGATGGACCGCCCTTCATGAGGCCTGTTCTAGAGGTTTTGTAGATGTGGTGGAGCAGCTCTTGGAAGCAGGTGCTGATGTCACCAGCAGAGGGCTAAATGGATGTAACCCACTGCATGATGCTGTTCAATCAGGCACATATGAGGTTGCTTCTATATTTCTGTAATGATCCATCACAAATTAAGATTTCAGAATGATTCACTTTTTCTAGTGTGGTGGTTAAAGGGTGGTTTCCCCCAAAAAATGTATTCTGTCATCATTTACTCACTTTCATGCTGTTACGCATGTTTCCATACAGTGAGCGTTGGCTGTTGAGCTATATAAAAGTAACTCATGCACTAGATTCTTCTGAAGCCAATATGACTACCTGTGTTATAGCCAGAATTATGTAATTGCAACTGAACCTCTACTATTCCAGTATTATTCTCTACAGTTTTCAACCTGATCTCCGGTTAACCACCACCATTTCACCACCCCATTCACACCATCAGTGTGTACTAAAATGCATTTTCAAAAGCAGTTAAAGTTCTGATCTTGATGTTTTATGCATAGATCGTGATGCTTCTCCTTCAGTTTGGCTCAAGCCCTCATGACAAGAATATGCTGGGACAGAGTGCAGTAGACCTCGCAGAACATGAAAGCGTCAAAGAGCTGCTTTTGACATTTAAAGGGCCTTTTCGTAAACCTGCCCGGACAACTGGCACTTCCAAACAAGGACCTCAGCTTTTGGCTGTAGAGCACATGCAGCCAGGTGAAAGTGTCTGCATAGAAGAAGCAGTCGAGCAACAGGAGAAGACATCAGCTTGTAAGTGTTTTCTTTTCTCATTAGATTTTAGCGCGGCTTTTCGTTGCTAGGATGTGTACTGTGCTAGACTAATTGAGACTTGTTACAGCACTTGTGTACTGTTGCCCTCTTGTTGGCCTGATCGCTTCTATTGTTCTCCTCATTTGTTAGTCGCATTGGATTAAAGCGTCTGCTAAATGATTCAATTTAAATGTAGAAGATACTGAGAAAGAGCAAAAATTGCTTATTTTTTAAAGAGATAGGTCACAGAAAAGTAAAAATTCTGTCATCATTTACTTTCCCTAATGTTGTTCCAAATCTGTCTTTCTTCAGTGAAACAAAAAGTTTTTTGGGGTGTGTTTTGGGGTTCATGGATATGTTTAATGCATGTGTATTAGGTATATTTATTCACTGTTATCCTCAACAGATCAGTGTTTACAGTCAGCAGGACCAAAGATTGATTTTAGTGGCAATAGGAAGTTGACCTGCCTTATAAGAGATGGAATCATTCGACATGGGGATGATAATTTAGAAATGACACTTAAGGTACAGTACTTAATAAATAATTTGTGCTGTTCAAGATGTTGCCATTAGACCATTTCAAAGTTAGTTTGGTGACTTTTATAGGATTTTTAAAGCTCTGATTAAAATGTAGGGTTGTAGCCATAAGGCCTCTCTTTTGGAAAATGGATCAATCAGAGATGCCAGTGGGAGAGTTTTCCTACTTCCAGAACAATGGGTTGAATCAGTCCCGGAGAGTCAATCCATAGTTCCTGTTACCTCAGATTTTGCCTGGAAAAAGGTAGGCCTACAAGACAGCTGTTTGAAGTGTTAGGCTAATATTTGCAATTAGATTTCTGATGCATGGCTAAAATTGTAAAGCAATAAGACAATAAAACTGTCTAATGTGAATACTCTCACTAATGTGAGCTCAGTACTTTTATGGTTTAGTAGTGGCCTTGAAACCACATCCGGGGGTTTTTTTACCACTTTTTTTTTTTTACTTGTCTTGACAGGTTATGTATCAATCGAAGTCACTGTGGAATTACATTTCAAGTGATTTGAATAGTGAGAAAACACCCAAGAGATCAGTAGAGCCGCAGTGTTGCAACGCCAGTACACCAGAACCTGCTGTAAAAGGTTTGTCAGCTAAGTCACTCGATCGTGGACCAGCCTCACTGCTCCTAGTTCCCTAACCACATGACAGACTCTTATAAGAAAATGATTTAAGATCAGATTTTCAGTTTCATACATCCCGATCTTATCTAAATCAGATATCTCTTAAAAGATGATTACAAAAAACATATACAAGCAGGATCTGTGGCATGCTGTCAGTTACCACAGAAACTCCCCCAGTTCTTCAAAAAAAAATTGTTGACAGAAATCTCCATGCAATGGAAGCATACAGTACAATTTATCCTTTTGTATTTGAATATATATATATATATGTGTGTATGTTACGTGGTGGAAGGGTTAAATTGTGATGTTTTATGGGGGGGGGGGGGAGGTTTCAGGTTTTCGAGGGGTGCACATGTGTACGCAAAGCCTACAAAATATCAATTGGCATACTGTAAAATATAACGAGTTGAGAGAGCCCTCTGCAATGAACACCAAAATGCTGATCAAAATCATTCTATATGCTGGCAGTGTGCAAAGCTACATCTGGTGACAATAAAATCTTCCTGTACGTCTGTGCCCTTTCCTGTGTCAGAAATATAAGAATGATGTTACCATTAAAGTAGAGAATATAAATACAAAATACAGGGTTCGACATTAAGCCTTGACGGATTGTTGCTTGTCTAGGAAACAAATCGTTGTTTTTTTAGTGATGGAAATATCATTTATTCTAAAGCTAATTTCTCATCAGTGTTCTATCAGCTTTACATATTAAGATCTGCATATTTGTACAACTGTAATGTTATCAGATTCTTTAAATATTTTTTTTATTTTTTGGTTATACTTTTAAACATGAAACTAAACCGCCAGTAGGTGGCGGCAGGTGACCGTCTTAATGAGTGAGTCATTCATTCAAACGATTCGTCATACGGCTGATTCATTCAAGAATGAGGCAGTTTTTTTATGAATGGGTCATTGAATCTTTCATCTTTGTCTACTTAAATCGGACCATTGGTGAAAGACATCAAAGTACCGCGAGAGCAATTAGAGCACAGACGGCTCCGTATACTTTTGAATCGCTCTCGCGGTACAGTCACTGATCTATATAGAATGACTGGATAGCTCATGACGTCATAAACAGTGAAGCCACCGCGCCGCCATATTGTGATTCCCTAGTGAGCTCACGCGTTCTATTGAATCAATAGGAAATTGTATGATTTGACTGAGAAAACATTGCATAACGAGACACCGTCTTTAAATCTAAAGTCTCCCTGAACAGTCTTACAACGCAAACATCCTAAGCATTTAAATGGGTATTTGTTTAAAGTCGGAAATTATTCCTGCTTACTAAAAATTAAGTATATGTGAATTGTGAACTTAAAATTTAGCTCTTTCTGATTGTGTTTTACAGATAGATCAGTAGTCTGTTCAAGTATTTGATTAGTTAGCAAGAACATGTCCAGGAAATGCATAATACAAATTGTATGGGTTAATGTACACCTGTTTCACCTCTTATTTACCCCTTATTTACACTGCACACGTCTGTGGCGCGTTTACAGCTGCGACACGGCTACCGGAGCTGATCGCGCCCACAAATCGGCAAATCACGTGGAAATGCTCCCGGTGTGAGTTGACACCGCGTGAAGGTAGGAATAAAACATTGTCGGAGCCATAATGCGCCGCAGATGTGTGCAGTGTAAATAAGGGGTTTACACATAGGCCTACTCCGTTTGCAGTGCATATTTTTTACCATACCCATGTCAACAGGTTGGAGCTTTCACTGCACACGGATGCCCGTCCTGTGCGGTGCGTGCAGAGATCGTTTGTGCTGCAGACGCTGAATTAAAGTGACAGCGCATGGTTCGTGGTCAAACTGAACACGGATTGACATGAAAATATTAAATAGGCCTATATGCATTTAATAAAATTTATAAGTAATGCATTGAATAATACGTTTATTGGGTTTAAACTTGAATACGTCTGTGAAAGAATGCATAGTAGGCTATAATTTTTTTAAACAACACGGAAATAGCGACAATTGTGCATATAAATTACTATATATGGGCTTAAAGTACAACCTGTGAGCAGTTTTTCAAGATCCTTTTGTAATCTTCGTTTTACACTTGTTGATGCGCAGCGGGTCATCTTAAAAGTGCCGTCGGAGCGACCTATCTCTGTATAACGGCCAATGGAGCCCTCTGCTGGTAGGGAATCGTAAGATGGCCGCTCGAACACTTCCGGTGGCTTCACTGCCTGGTGGCAGTTTAGAACGTCATGAGCTATCCAGTCATTATATAGACCAATTTCCAGCCGACGTCACAGTTACGTCACAGCGCTAGCTGGTGGCAGAACAAAGGGAAAACTGGAGGCGGTGAATACAAACCAGCACAGATTCGGCTACAAAATAAGGATCTTAAATTATTCTTATTATTATTAAATGTCATCTTGTTGTGTTGTTGGGTGCAAGAATCAATGAAACATTAATGTGCTTTATCTGCAATTTTTTATTTCTAGAAAATATTCACCTCATTAAAATTGCACCGTAATGTCACTCTTTACATTGTCGTCTTCATGGCGCTGGCTAGGCAGAACTGCGGATCGTACACACACGTCTTGCACATCACCATTCAGCACATAGTTATAGGCATCTAAAGATTTATATGCCCTCCGTTTCTCTATCAGGTTGGTGTAGATGTCAGGCCACTCAACCGGAGGTAGCGTTAACGTTAATCCTGTCAGATCCTCAATGAGTGTACGGGTCAGCCAATCTGGTTCCGTCCGTTAAAATTAACTTTTGCAAATAACAATCGCGGTCCTGGACAGTGAGTGACCTTGCACATTAAGATAAAATCGGATTTTCTCCAGTCATTGTTAAAAACAAGCTAACAAAACTTGCAGACTTTACGTTAGTGAAGCGGCCAGAGGGATCGTTCTGCCACCACCTAAGCTCCGCCCACATAAAAACGTCACCATGTTTACCAACTGAAAATTGGTCTATAGATCAGTGGGTACAGTACTTTGATGTCATAAACCGACCAGTCTGTGCAGCGCACAGAAGTCGAACAAGCCTTTTGACTCAATCGATTCGTTCAAAACGCTGAATCATTTAGTAAAGTGTTGATGCCCTGTGGTTCTGCTGTGATCTTTGTTTGGAACTATTTTCGATGCTGAAACAGAACAAAAACAGTCAGTTATGTGCCTAAATGTAAGTGACTTAATATTAACTATTTGTTTAATGAACTGTTGTATGAAATCAGTGTCACATTTTCAGTCATGATGGTAGGAAGACAGCACTCTTGGTTGTGTGATGTTGCTTAACTGTATCATATGTTATAAATATAAAACTCCACATTTAGAGTTGTTACTTTACCGCAGTATGTTAGGGTTTCTTTGTGTGTGCTGTGTGCATTCCCTCGAGAGGCGCGAGCCTCAACAGCGCAACCTGTTGTCAGTTATACATTTATATGTCATATCCACTATCAGGCGCCACTTGTAATAAATCAGTCATTATCGAGATTTTGTGTTATTTTTTGGTATTGATGTTTCAATCAGGCTACGTATGTGTCCGGTCGGGCAAGAAAAAAATAAATATATTTTACTTGCCCATTAAAAAAATCCACTTGTCCCGAACAAACGTTAATGTCTAGCCCTGGCCTCCGGGGGTTCAGCCCAGGACGGCTCCGGCCCAATTTAACCCTTGGTTACTTGGTAACAGCATGCCAGGCATAAATGTTTTCTAAACTTAAAATACCTTTAGAAATATGAATGTAATTTATGTAGTTGATACTATTTTGTTCAATGAGTCATTCATTCATTCATTTTGTTCTGTAGAACCATCCAGAAATGACGTTGGCCTATTCATGAACATCAGGTCGATTCATTTGGTCAGCGATGAGGAGTTTTTTCCAAGCCATATGACGAACAGATACTGGGACTTACTCACACAGAGTGAGGAGTGGAGCTTTGATACTTAGTTGCTTGTGTAGCAGAGAAGACCGTTCCAGTGTTATAGAATGTTTGTTTCAAACGTTTATAAAGTGTAAAAGTGTTCTTTTTTCATTGTTGAATATGTGTGTGAAACGTCTTTGTACACCGACCAGTTTCAATGATAAGTTGATGATCTTTATATTAAAATAAAAATACACATTACCCTTTCCTTTTGTTATGTAGCCTATATAACTAACTGTTATCCTCGCCCAGACGGGTTTCGATTATGTTAAGTGTGTGAGTGTGTGTGTGTGTGTGTGTGTGTGTGTGTGTGTGTGTGTGTGTGTGTGTGTGTGTGTGTGTGTGTGTGTGTGTGTGTGTGTGTGTGTGTGTGTTTGTGTGTGTGTGTGTGTGTGTGTGTGTGCGAGCGATGCTTGGAAATGTTGTGTAGTTAACTTTTAAGACAAAGCCCCAGTATGAGTGGGCGGACTGTACTTGGGTTGACGCCTCAAACTGCCTCTCTTCAGTCACTGAAAGTGAAGTCAGCGGTGCCTGAATTTCACACAAGTCACACAATCTTAACAGCAGTCGTAAGTATCCTGAACTCGATAGATTATTTCAAAGATCGATAAGACATTTAATTAATATTTCGATCACTTTTAATTTTGTTTTATTTACACACAAAACGCGCAAAGGTGTTGTCTAGTTATTCAGTATTTTATTTGTATTCTATATCAAGTCATTCAATTGTTTGAATACAGTTGCGGATATATAACAAGTCTGCTTTTCTTGCGTTTCGGGCAGATTGATGGAAGTGTGTAGTAGGCTAGCTGCTTTGTTTAATCTATGTGGCTCGTGTGCTTTAAAGCTTTCCAAGCAGCCTCATGGTGGCAACTTTTGCAATATTAGGTGACGAATTAATTTAGAAACCGCAAGGCTTTTACGATTAGGCTTTATGTTATGCTTTCTTTGTCACACAGGTTCATATATTGTAATGTTTGATGGCAGTGGCACAAAACAAAAGACCGGCAGTGTGCAAGGTAGGTAAATCCCCCTTCAGTTAGGCTAAATTATGTAATACAACTAAGTATGATACCGTTTCATGTCAGAAGATTAGCATAATGCCAGCTTTATTTCTAACACTTATTTGAACTACTTTTCCAACAGAATGAAAAGAAGATGTGCTATCTTACACTGGTTAAGATGCAAGTTATATGTGTTTGTTGTGTCACTGTTTGTTGTGCTGAAGCTGGTGTACAGAAATATTTCAGTGGACGACAGTATCTACATTGAGCCCTATGGAGCTAAACAAAGATCACTCAAACCTCAGCCTCTGAATGGCATTAACTGCACAGCCATTTATGAACTGGAACCAGTGGAAATTGGGAAGTCGTTGGAGATAAGACGCAAAAACATTGTGGAAGTTGATGATAAGAGTATTGTTTCTTTCACTGCAGACTGCACAAACTACATCGAAAAAAGGGGCTATAAGGAGATCTTTGTAACTGATGAGGAATGCAGCTTTCCAATTGCATACTCTTTGGTGGTGCACAAGAACAGTGCAATGGTGGAAAGGATTCTTCGCGCCATTTACACTCCTCAGAATATTTACTGCATTCATTATGACCAAAAGTCATCGAAAGATTTTATTGCAGCATTGAAGAACTTGGAGAAATGTTTTCCAAATGTCTTCATAGCATCTAAAATCGAGTCTGTTCATTATGCACACATTACAAGACTTAATGCAGATCTCAACTGCCTTTCAGACCTGCTGAGTTCAGAGGTCAAATGGAAGTATGCTATCAATTTGTGTGGCCAAGACTTCCCGCTGAAGTCCAATTATGAGCTGGTGACTGAGCTCAGGAAACTGAATGGTGCAAACATGCTCGAATCAAGCAGGCCCAGCGAACTGAAAAGGCAGCGGTTTCAGTTTCAGTATGAATTGAAAGATGTATCATATGAATACCAGAAAATGCCTGTTAAAACCTCCAATCCTAAAGACCCACCACCGCATGACATTGAGATGTTTGTTGGGAGTGCCTACTTTGTTTTGACACAGGATTTCGTGACGTACATTATGAACAATCAACTGGCAAAGGATTTTCTGCAGTGGTCAGCTGACACATATTCTCCTGATGAGCACTTTTGGGCAACCATGGCTAGAGTGCCTGGAGTTCCTGGGGAGTTACAAAGATCTGAGCCTGATGTGTCAGATATAAAGAGTAGGACACGTTTGGTTAAATGGAAATATCTTGAAATCCATTTGTATCCACAGTGCACTGGCGCACACAGACGCAGTGTCTGCATCTACGGTGCAGCAGAGCTCCGGTGGCTTCTGGAGGACGGCCACTGGTTTGCAAACAAGTTTGATCCCAAAGTTGACCCTGTCATTATTAAATGTCTCGAAGAGAAACTTGAGGAGAAACAGCGTCAACAATGCCTCAAAAGAGTGTCTTAAAATGGAACGTTTCTTTTTGGACTGTATTGTTTGGTTAAAATATGTATGTTTGCTGCTGCACATATGTCTGTTCAAAGTACCAGCTGATTGAAAGGTTAGCTGGATTTCACCAAGCTATTCCTTTTCAATTTTGAAATGTTTTTTCCATACGCCTATGCTAGGTCAGTTTGAAAGTGCCTTTCAGCTTCATCCTTTTTTAATCCGTCCAAAATATAAATTTATAGGTGCTTGAGCTACGAAATATTTATATATTTTAATGTATTTAAACCAATACTGTCAGATGCACGAATACCCTCTTTTTCATTCTATTTTTTATTGAATTAGTCTATGTGAGAACTTCCATAGGGCTTCAGCTGTGAGAGTTGTGTTTTTGTTTTGAGTCAAAAAGCATTGAAAGCTGCAAAATTATATTCTGTGTATAGTGCACTCATATTTACCAGAGTCTCGTGCGTCATATTTGGATTTTTAATAGTAATCTCAAAACAATATTTGTATCAATACCAGGGTGATGCTGTGTCATTTTAAAATTATTTATATAATATCTGATGGTCTCTATGTACATTCAATATTTACTGTTTCAAATAAAAGTATTTAGCTATTGTAATTGAGTCACACCTAGTGTACTGTCTATAAGTGATGTAAATATTAAGCAACTGTTTGTTCTGATCTTGATGTGCAAGTGATGTTGCATAAGTGATGATAGAAGCTAAATTCTGGATGGCATACCATACTACTCTTACTATTTCTGTCTTTAGAATTTGTATATACACTTTCCAGACATACTGTCATTCTGATATTTAGTCACTCTTTCTGCGTTTTATATTATTACACCAGTAGGTGGTGATACGTGATAAGTCTTTATAGTTGAGTTATTTAATACATTGAACTGATCTATTTAAAACACAGATTCATTCAGGCATGAAACAAGCAGCTTTGTTTGTATGAGTGTTAAAAACTCATACACTCAAACTATTTGACTAATTCGGGAACTCTACTATTGAATGCTGCACTGAAACGAGTGACGGTTAATTACACTGTTAGTTTTGAACTATTGTTGTTGGCAAAAATAGATAAAAAAGTAACTTGCAATATTGTGTCTAAAATGTAAGTTGCTCAATATTTGCTTCTTGTTTATTGAACTGTTGCACAAACAATTTTACACTCGCAATCATGTTGTTGGCCTGAATATCATCATATATTCAAAACAACACTCTTGCTTGTTTGATAGTATAACAATTCTTAATTATTCATAGTTTAAGTAGGCTTATGAGTTTCTTTGCACTACTGCACACTGTAAAAATGTTGTTGATTTAACTTAAAACATGGTTGCCTTAAAACTTTGAGTTCATTGAAAATAAAAATTTGAGGGAGATTGGTTTAAAAATTGAAAGTGAAAATATTATGTTCTCTGAACCACCATACATGATGAGTTTTCAAAGCATGAAAATAATTGTTTACAGTGCACTGCATAATATTCATTTAGTTTAATTGTATTTTGGTATGGTTCTATATGTTTGTTTTATGTCAACATCGATAGGAGCAGTATTTAAACAGCCCGTGGTATAATAAAGATTAATCTCATCTTATAAATCGCTTATTTAAACAGACCTTTCAAAAGGTACACCTTTGTACCTACACTGTAAAAAAATATTGTTGGTTTAACTTAAAAAAAAGTAAGTTACCTACAGTAGTTGCCTTAAAATTCTGAGTGCATTGAAATAAACAAATTTGAGTTAATACATTGAAGAAGATTGGTTTAATAAATAGAAAATCAAAATATTATGTTATCTTAACCACATTAATTATCTAAGTTGATTTGACAAAAAGATAAAAAGTTGTGATAACAAATCATGAAAATAATTGTTACAGTGTAAAGAGTGCATAGCTCAAAGTAACATATTTGGTACCAAAAGTGTACATATTAGTGCCTTAGAACCTTTTTAAATGGTACCAACCCAGTGACAGCTTTTGTACCATTTTTTTAGAGAGTGTTGAATCCACAGTCTGTTGAGTCAAAGCTCATAGCAGTCTTTAAAGTGGAGATGCAAGACCAATAATAAGCTTTCATTTCTTGGCTCAACAAGTCAGTGGCTGGACAAAAGCACCTAAACTTTCACTGCAACAAGACACCCAAGTGTACACACTGAATGAACTCCCAAAAGCCACTTTTTTATAACTGATATGTCCCTTAAGACATTTTAAAAACAGCCATTTTTAAAGGTAGCTTGTAGGAGAATCATTTAATTATTTCCAGAAGGTGAATGAATGTTGTCAAATATAGAAATTTTAGTCATTTTAACTCTAAAATCTTTTTAAACATCTGTTAGCGCCAATGTCCCGAGTTTGCCCTCTGCCAGTCTGTCTGTGTTTGTTACCAGGGCTGGAAACAGAGCTCTTGAACCTACTTTTCAGAAAGGTTTCCACTCTAAGACGTGATTGTACAGCATGTTTGACCACTGAGGTAGCCAGCGAGGCTCTATTTCCTCAATCTAAATGCAGTACGACCGGCCCATGCGGCTCCGTCATAGTGCTGACAGTGTAAGTTAATGCACCCTGGAATGTAGACGCCTGCCATTAAAACCCTCTCAGTTTTTTCTTATGTCTCAGACCCCACATTGATGAAAATAGTACAGAAAGCCCTCTGTGTACGATTTATTTACTTAATATCAGTTACTGCTCTGCGATCAGCAGTTTGACTTACCAGTTCATGGATCATGTACATGTTGTGCGTACAAAAAGTGCCACATACATCTACTTCCCAAA